CAGATAGAGGAGTAGCTTCAAGTTCAAAGGACATAGGGAAAGCCTTTCTGGGTTATTATTCCTCGTTAGATAATATTCCATCTAACACACAGAATAGGAAATGTATTGAGACATATTTAAAAAAAGCTTAATTTACAAACTCTACTTATAACAAAATTCTAAAATAGAATCTCCATTTAGAACTCCAGACCAGATGGTTTTTCCAATGTCAACAATTATATCTCCATATCTTTCTGATACATTTAATGAAATCAAACTGATTTTCCTAACAAAATGTTACAAGCCAAAATAGTGCCCATCCCAAAAGAAGATAAAGATAGAACTAGAGTTCTGAACTATAGGCCTATATCACTTATTAATTGTGACACAAACATATATTCTTCAATACTCGCTGAAAGATTGAAAGGAATAATGTTATTTTTAATACATTGAAATTAAGTGGGATTCATTCCAAAGAGATATGTGGGCAATAACACCAGGAAAATCATAGATATACTAAATTATATTGGGTCTAAAAGAATCCCCATTTTGGTCCTGTCATTGGACGCTGAAAAAGCATTTGACAGGGCCAGCTGGGTTTTCTTACAAGAAGTATAACAAATGTTCAAGTTTAGAAATTTTATGATGGATGCAATAATGGCTATATATTCCTCACCAACTGCAATAATATCAAGTCAAGGATTTTCTACAGAAAGTTTTAAAATAAAAAATGGCACTTGTTAAGACTGCCCATTAGCGCCAAAGCTATATATCTTAACTTTAGAGCCCTTACTTCAAAAGATTAGATAAGAAATATATATAAAAGGAGTGAAAATAAATAATCTAGAATATCAATTATCTGCACATCATTTTAACAATTACATCTCCTAAAACATCTGTTAATACTCTGTTAGAAACCTTAGATACATATGGGAAGATGTCTAATTATAAATTAAATATAGAAAACAAATGTGGCTTTACTAAAACAAACGTATTCCTTTCAATGGCCACAGGAAGGGTTAAAATACTTAGGTATAACAATCCCTAAAAAAATAGGTGAAAAAAAAACTTGGTGAACGTCAACTTTTTACATCTAATTAAAGAATTATCCCATAAACTAAAGATCTAGAAGGATGCATCGGTTTCTTGTATGAGAAAAATAAACGTAATTAAATCATATATATTACCTACCTGGTCCTATGACTTTAGGATGATCCCATTAACAGCACCATTTAAATATATAAAACTGTTTCAAATACTTAACAGTTTTTATGGGTCAATAAAAGACCACTTATATCAAGATATCATTTATATCGAATGAAAACTCAGGGAGGTATGAACGTTCCAGATATTTCTAAATATCAACAAGCAAATAGTCTGACTCAGGTTCATCAAATACAAATAACATCTAAAAAAAACAAGATTGGTATAATATAGAGCAGCATTTAACAAAAGTTGATAATTTGGAAACGCTATTATGGTGTAAACAAACAGAGCTAAAAAAAATCTTGTTGAAAGCTGATTGTATAGTCTTTTGGGAGAATGGTCTCAATTTCAGAAGAAAATGCAAATACTAGATAAATGTGCAATGACCACTCCATTAGAAACCTTGGAATATAATATTATGGATTTTAAACTTCCACGGAGACTCCAAAAGAAAAATCTAAGAATTGTTATCATTCAGAAGAATTTAAAGCTTAAATCCAGCTACAACAAGAGATTGGATGTACAGTCAAATAGCAATTCTCAATAACTAGAATTAAATTTTATCTTAGATCTAACTTATTTGAGATTTCAGAAACAAACTTAAAAGATCAATTTGAAAGATTAACGTACAATAATTCAAACAAAAAAATATTGAGAGCATGGTATGATTTTCTTGAATTCCGGTTACCTGCAATAAAAGTTAAAGCCCTAGAGTCATGGGGAAGGGATATAGCAATCCAAATAGATAAGGAACAACGGTGGGAAGGTTGGTCTCAAGTAGGAAAGATAACGCATTGTCTGTCATTACAGGAACTTCATTTCAAAGTAGTGTACAGATGGCATTTATATCCCGAAAATGTATGCAAATTTAAAGAAAATCCCTTATGTTGGAAGTGTAATAAACAGCTTGGTAACTTGATACACATGTGGTGGTCCTGCAAAAAAATGTAAAACACATAAAAATGTGTGCTTTAAAGGGACACTATTGTCACCAGAACAACTACAGCTTATTGAATTTGTTCTGCTGAGTAGAATCATTACCTTCAGGCTTTTTACTGTAAACACTGTCTGTCTTTTCAGAGAAAACGCAGTGTTTACATTACACCCTAGTGATAACATCACTGGCCACTCCTCAGATGGCTGTTAGAGATCCTTCCTGGGTCATGGCTGCCTAAAACGCATCCAAACATTCAGTATCTCCTCCCTCTGCATGCAGACACTGAACTTTCCTCATGGGAGATTCATTGATTCAATGCATCTCTATGTGGAGATGCTGATTGGCCAGGGCTGTGTTTGAATCATGCTGGCTCTGCCCCTGATCTGCATCTTTGTCAGTCTCAGCCAATCCTATGGGGAAGCATTGTGATTGGATCAGGCCACCACTTCTGATGATGTCAGAGGTCAGAGGAAGTTCACAGGCAGAGGCAGCAGCTTCAGACTTGAATACAAGAAAGATTTTACTATCTTTAGGGAGGCAAATGGGGCCAAGAGGGCTAGATAGTGGTTTTAACACTATAGGATCAGGAATACATGTTTGTGTTCCTGACCCTATATTGCTCCTTTAATTTCAGAACTGACAGGCACAGTGATTCCAATAATACCAGAAACCGCTCTTTTCCACTTCGGATTAGATAATGTAAGCCTCTTTAATAAGGCTCTGACAATACAAATATTACTGGCAATGAAAATAACAATAGCAAGGAAATGGAAAACACAGGGGGAAATAGAATGGTTAAGGATTAAAAATGAGATATCTCACCAATGCCTAATGGAAAAATGATATTATTTAGCGAGACAGAAATTATTCTTACATAAGAAAATCTGGGATAAATGGTTAGCTAAATAAATTTAAGGAAAGCTAAAGTATTCTGATACAATGAATTTTCCATTTTTAAATGAGAAGAAAAAAGAGAAAAGGAAAGAGAAAATCAATCTTACATTTTATTCTTTATTAAGATTGAACAAATACATTATTCCAAAAAATGATACATGCTTGGAAGGATACATTGTCTATAATAAATGTTACCTGAAGCACTCTTCTTAAGCATTTAAATATTTTCAAAAGGATGAATAAGATGGGGAAATAGTTTGGTTAAAGTTTGTTAGAAAACACTTGGAGTGTCCAAGGAATAATATCTACAATGCCCTGAAGCAACTACATTTTTTCAGCTCTAATTATACTGGAAAATATACACTTTCAGAAGAAAAAAGCAAAAAAAAAAAAGCAAAAGAAAGCAACAACAAAAAAGGGGGAGGGGGGGATTTCCATGCCAAGTAATTGTTGTTGTTCTGTCTCAATTGAATTATTTACAAAGAAAGAGGAAAAAAAGGAAAACTATTAAAGGAGAGAGAGAAAGAGAAAAAAGGAGAAGAGAAGGATAAAGGGAAAAAAGGGTATCAGGAGAGACTTAATGTATTTTTGATTTACTTATCAATGTCTTTCTTTGTATATAACTCAATATATTCTTATATATGCAATCTCAAATTTTTTTTTATAAGTTTTTGTATTTTATATGTAATGTCAAATAAAAAATAAATAAATAAAAATAAAAAAACAGAATGGGGCATTATGAGTATCTGGTTGTGCTGTTTGGTTTGTGCAATGCTCCAGTGGTATTTAAAGACCTGATCAATGCTGTCCTAAGAGAATACCTGCACACATTTGTGTTGGTGTACCTAGATCACGAACATGTGAAAACCATGCTTAAAACCCTGCTAAAAATGGCCTATACTGTAATTTAGAAAAGTGCCAGTTTGATCAAACCGAAGTACAGTTCCTCGGATATGTTATACCCCCCTCTAGTTTTAAGATGGACCCACGCAAACTGGATGCAGTATTACAGTGGCCATTACCCAGGGTCTTAAAGCCGTACAGTGCTTTATTGGATTTGCAAATTATCGCAGGTTCACCAAAGGCTTCTCATCTGAAATTGCTCCTATTACCAACCTCACCCGAAAAGGAGCTAATAGTCATTCATGGCCAAAGGAAGCAATAGAGGCATTTGAAAAACTGAAATCTTAGCACACCGAGATCCTGCCAAACCGTTTATTTTAGAGGTCTATGCGTCCGAGATAGGGGTAGGTGCTATCCTGTCTCAATGAAAAATCCCTGATAAGCCTCTTCATCCCTGTGGGTTTTTCTCCAAAAAGTTATCATTTGCTGAGAGAAACTACGACATCGGAAACAGGGAATTATTTGCCATTATTCTAGCTCTTAAAGAATGGAGGCATCTCTTAGAAGGTTCCAAAGAGCCACTTTTGATTTTCATGGATCATAAGAACTTATGGCTGCGACAGTATTGGAATTGTCTTCTCCGCTCCTTTGTGCCATAATAGCAGATCAAACTCAGGCATCAGCAGAGAAGCCATCTAATAAAAGAGATCTGAGATACTCTGGTTATACCATGATAACATAACAGCTGGACATCCTGGTATACACAAAACCCTCTCTGCCATTACTGGAAAGTTTTGGTGGCCCTCACTTGGAGGTTATATCAATTATTATGTGGGAGCATGTGGAATTTGTGCCATGTATAGTATGGGGCGTTAAAAAAAAACATGTAAGCCTAGTGGGTTCTTTTTGTTTCTTTGAGGCAGATTAATAAAATGAAGTAGAATATATTGCAGAGGTATTGTGTTGGAGACGCTCTCAGGGAGGGAAATAAATGCACTGTGTTATTGACCGACCCATTTTGCACAGCTCCAGAATACTAAAGGCCCAAGGTTTCCTCCCTCTGCATTCCTGCATGGAGTCAACATGAACACAGGTTTGATGGCCATGTTTTAACCAACCTTGTGTCTTCTTTGTGACCCAGGTCTATTCTGGAGGTTTATTGCTATTCAACTTTCAAGAGAATTTAGATATGTACCTACCCATAACCAACGGTGCCACATTCTTAGCGCCATTCTGGGCTGATATAGAAACATCAAATGAAGGAGAAATCTATATCGGGACCAACACAAGCTTAGAACTTCTGTCACAAGCAACATCTGACGTCGGCTCGTACTTTCCCGGTCTGAATTTCTCTGCCGAGATGGTTTTGGTGGCAACATGGGTGAAAGTTCCTTACCATTTTTCTACATTTCCAAGCAGACAGGTATCTACACCTATGTTTCAATTGGTTTAAGATCTCCATGACACCCATAAGGGTATAGATAGTCTCAACATTTGTGAAGAATAAACTAGGGAATTAAACTATAATCATATCACAGAGCTGGAAAACTCACTGACTATGATAATGTTCCAATTTTTTCTAAATTATGAAAATCCCTGATCAATTTTCACCACTTCTAGATTTAGTGAATAGCAGTTTCTAATAAAGATCACCAATCTGTTTAATAGAAGACTTGCTTGTTATTTCTTTAAACTCTGAGATCTTGTGTTTGTCAGGTTAACAGCCATTAAAGGACCACTAACTTCACCCAGACCACTTCATCTCAGTGAAGTTTGATTATGGGCAGGATTAGGGGAGCATGTGGGGTATCATTGTAATCAGGAACACTAGCAAGATACAAATATGGGTTGTTTGCAGTAGTGGGACACTTGGTCCTTACGGGGTTAGCCAGTAGGCTATAATTAGCCTTGGTCCTTACAGGGTTAGCCAGTGGGCTAGAATTAGCTGTGGTCCTTACAGGGTTCGCCAGTGGGCTAGAATTACCCGTGGTCCTAACTGGGTTCACCAGTGGGCTAGAATTAGCTGTGGTCCTTACGGGGTTTGCCAGTGGGCTAGAATTAGCTGTGGTCCTTACAGGGTTAGCCAGTGGGCTAGAATTACCCATGGTCCTTACGGGGTTTACCAGTGGGCAAGAATTAGCCGTGGTCCTTACGGGGTTTGCCAGTGGGCTATAATTAGCCGTGGTCCTTACGGGGTTAGCCAGTGGGCTAGAATTAGCTGTGGTCCTTACAGGGTTAGCCAGTGGGCTAGAATTAGCCGTGGTCCTTACGGGGATCGCCAGTGGGCTAGAATTACCCGTGGTCCTTACAGGGTTTGCCAGTGGGCTAGAATTAGCCGTGGTCCTTACAGGGTTCGCCAGTGGGCTAGAATTAGCCGTGGTCCTTACGGGGTTAGCCAGTGGGCTAGAATTAGCCGTGGTCCTTACGGGGTTCGCCAGTGGGTTAGAATTAGCCGTGGTCCTTACGGGGTTCACCAGTGGGCTAGAATTAGCCGTGGTGCTTACGGGGTTCGCCAGTGGGCTAGAATTAGCCGTGGTCCTTACGGGATTCGCCAGTGGGCTAGAATTAGCCGTGGTCCTTACGGGGTTCGCCAGTGGGCTAGAATTACCCGTGGTCCTTATGGGGTTAGTCTTAATTGTGCCTTTTTTTGGTTGCTGTGTTTGACTACTTCGTGTTTTCAGGCAATTAGAATACAGCTTTGATATCAAATCTGTGAATGATTTATCTCTGTAATATCTGTAATTCTTGCTAGTGGCTTCCTCTGTCACTTACAACGTGGCAGACAAAACCCATAGGCGTTAACTAATATCACGTTTGTCACACTGTGTGCTTTTATTTAGATGATGTTGCTATTGACCTGGGGCCGTGCTCATGTTGGTTTGCGTCACTGTGTCTAAATTGCAATCTAAACTGTAAATCTCTCGAAGTTATTCCCTGCACCCAAACAAATGCAACACTGGGGATAAAAGCAAGAAATATAATAAAATAATCTGAATTTTGGTGAAAATATACTGTGTGTACATCAGGCAGAGTGATTCTAATCTTGTTTTCGTACCAATAGGTGAACACGTTTCAAGCTGTTCTCATCACAGGTGGCACAGATTCTTTTCTTTTCTATAACTACGCTGACCTCCAATGGCCGACAACCAACATGGAAGAAATAGCACTGGTTAGTATGAAGATATTCACAGAGACACTAACTGATTGTGAAATTAAAATGTCACCTCTTGGAGAAGTTGAAATATAATTCCCTATTAATTGGAGAAAATCATTGCGGATATATCTAAAAACATCTTGCAAAATCTGATCTCTTGTCTGCAGGCATTGCAAGCCCTCCCCTTCAAACCCCGCCCACACTTTCTGTGGCTGTCCAATCACAGACTTCCCATTGCAGCTCAATGAGAAGTCTTTGCAAGGCAGGTGCTCTGGACAGTTGCTGCCTCTTGAGTTTATTTTCACTGAGCTAACCAACCAGGAAGTAGCAGGACCGGTTGTTTGACAGCCAGGGGGGTGTAACTAGGTTAATTTACAAAAGTACAAATTTCTATTAAAATCTGCAAAAAAGAGAAGACATTCTTCACACAAAATCTTTCAGCAAGTTAAAGTACTTTCGAAGTCTGGTGTGTCCCTTTAAAATCATCTATCTATCTATCTATCTATCTTTCATCTATCTACGTATCTCTATCTATCTATCAAACCATCTGTCTGTCTGTCTGTTTATCTATCTCTTTCTATCTATACACTATCTATCTATCTATCTATCTATCTGTCTATCTATCTATTTGTCTCTCTCTCTATCTATCTATCTATCTATCTGTTTATCTATATCTATCTAAATATCTATCTATCGATCTATCTTACTATCTATCTATCTGTCTGTCTATCTATATATTGATCTATCTTACTATCTATCAGTCTGTCTGTCTGTCTATCTATCTATCTTACTATCGATCTGTCTTACTATCTATCTATCTATCTATCTATCTAACTATCTTATTATTATTATTGCCATTTATATAGCGCCAACAGATTCCGTAGCGCTTTGCAATATTATCAGGGGGGATTTAACTATAAATAGGACAATTACAAAAAACTTACAGGAACGATAGGTTGGAGAGAACCCTGCTCAAACGAGCTTACGTTCTATAGGAGGTGGGGTGTAAAACACAATAGGATAGGAATCAAATAAGGTGGTTGCCTTTTAGGAGAGAGCAAGAGACAGGTATGTGAGGTAGAGGTTAGTCTGGGAGGCCATAAGCTTTCCTAAAGAGATGGGTTTTAAGGCACTTCTTAAAAGATGCAAGACTAAGGGAGGGTCTGATGGCGGTAGGCAGGCTATTCCATAGGAAGGAAGTTGCCTGCGAGAAGTCCTGCAAGAGTGAGTTGGCCGTACATGTGCGAACAACGGACAGGAGGTGGTCACGGGCAGAGCGCAGAGACCGAGAAGGGACATACCTATGGATCTGTGAGGAGATATAAGAGGGGCTAGAGTTGTTCAGTGCTTTATAGGTGTGAATTAGTACCTTGAATTGACTCCTATAGCATACAGGAAGCCAATGTAAGGCCTGACAGAAGGGTGAGGTGTGAGAGAAACGACTAGAGAGGAAAATCAGTCTAGCAGCAGCGTTCATTATGGACTGTAGCGGTGCAGTACGGCTTTTGGGAAGACCAATCAGGAGAGGGTTACAATAATGAGGTGACGCCAGAATCAAATATGACGCCAAGAAAGCGCACTTGTAAGGATGGACTGATGTGGGTACCACAAACTTGAAGGGAGAGCGAAGGAGGAGGATCAGTATTAGAAGGAGGAAAGACAAGGAGCTCAGTTTTAGAGAGATTGAGTTTCAGAAAGCGGGAGGACATCCAGTCAGAGATGGAAGAAAGGCAAGCAGTGACACGTTGCAGGACAGCAGGGAAGAGGTCCGGGGAGGAGAGATATAACTGGGTGTCATCAGCGTACAGGTGGTAGTGGAATCCAAAAGAAGTAATACGTTTGCCAAGAGAGGCAGTATAAGGAGAAAATAGAAGGGGACCAAGTACAGAGCCTTGGGGGACTCCAACCGAGACAGGACGAGGGGAGGAGGTGTCATTAGAAAAGGAGAAACTGAATGAGCGTTGGGAGAGATAAGAGGAAAACCATGAGAGGACAGAGTCACAGAGACTGAGCAATTGAAGAGTTTGAAGAAGGATAACATGATAAACGGTGTCAAAGGCAGCAGAATGGTCAAGAAGAATTCGCATGGAGTAGTGGCCTTTGGATATAGCTGCGATTAGGTCGTTAGTAACTTTGATAAGTGCAGTCTCTGTAGAGTCTATCTATCTATCTATCTATCTTACTATTGATCTTACCAGTGGCGTACATACCAGGGTCGCAGGGGTCGCGACCGCGACCGGGCCCGGCCCACCAGGGGGCCCGGCCGCCCCTGCGACCCGGTATTTACGCCCAGGGCCAGCCTCTTCCCCTGGGGGGGGCCCAGGAGCCGACCACCCCAGGGCCCCCCGAGGCTGGCCCTGCTGACCCCGGGTGGCCAGACGGGCGCGCGAGGGAGCACTCAGTGCTTCCTCTTCAGCTCCCTCGCACACCGCACTGATACCGGAGCCGGAAGATGACGTCATCTTGCGGCGCCGGCATCCCTACGCGGCGCGCGAGGGAGCCGAAGAGGAAGCACTGAGTGCTCCCTCGCGCACCCGCCTGCCTGCCCAGGAGCCCAGCAGCAGCACCACTGGACCCCAGGGAATCCCCCCAGCACTCCAAAAGGTAAGGAGGCTGGGGGGATTACATTAAAAAAAAAAAAAATCATGTGTGAGTGTGAGTGTTAGTGTGTGTGAGTGTTAGTGTGTGTGTGTTAGAGTGAGTGTTAGTGTGTGAGTGTTAGAGTGAGTGTTAGTGTGTGTGAGTGTTGGTGTGTGAGTGTTAGTGTGTGCGAGTGTTAGAGTGAGTGTTAGAGTGCGAGTGTTAGAGTGAGTGTTAGTGTGTGTGAGTGTTAGAGTGAGTGTTAGAGTGTGAGTATTAGAGTGAGTGTTAGTGTGTGTGAGTGTTAGTGAGTGTTAGAGTGAGTGTTAGTGTGTGTGAGTGTTAGAGTGAGTGTCATTGAGTGTGTTACTGTGTGTGTCTTACTGAGTGTGTGTGTGTTAGTGTGTCTGTTTGATGTCTGTTAGTGAGTGTGTTTGATGTCTGTTAGTGAGTGTGTGTTTGTCAATGAGAGTGTATGTTTTGTGAGTGTGTATGTATGTCTGTCGCTGACTGTATCTCTGTCAGTAAATGTGTGTGTCTGTTAGCTAGTGTGTATGCGTCTGTAAGTGTGTGTGTGTGTGTGTCTTCAGCACTTACCTTTCTCCAGCGCCGGACTCCCTTGGCATTGAGGATCCCTCAGCCTCTCAGCTCCGAATGCGACCACGCACGCATTCAAACCGCCCATAGGAAAGCATTACTCAATGCTTTCCTATGGACGTTCAGTGTGCTCCTCTAGCGGCTGTCCGTGAGACAGCCACTAGAGGCTGGATTAACCCTCAGTGAAACATAGCAGTTTCTCTGAAACTGCTATGTTTTCAGCTGCAGGGTTAAAACTAGAGGGACCCGACACCCAGACAACTTCATTGAGCTGATGTGATCTGGGTGTCTGTAGTGGTCCTTTAAAGGACCACTATAGTGCCCCCACCCTCAGGGACTCCCTCCCGCCCGGCTCTGGAAAGGGGTAAAACTTACCTTTTTCCAGCGCTGGGCGGAGAGCTCTCCTCCTCCGATCCTCCTCTTCTCCTCCCCGTCGGCTGTATGCGCACGCGCGGCAAGAGCTGTGCGCGCATTCAGCCGGTCACATAGGAAAGCATTCATAATGCTTTCCTATGGACGCTGGCGTGCTCTCACTGTGAAAATCACAGTGAGAAGCACGCAAGCGCCTCTAGCGGCTGTCAATGGGACAGCCACTAGAGGAAATAGGGGAAGGCTTAACCATTCATAAACACAGCAGTTTCTCTGAAACTGCTATGTTTATGAAAAAATGGGTTAACCCTAGCTGGACCTGGCACCCAGACCACTTCATTAAGCTGAAGTGGTCTGGGTGCCTAGAGTGGTCCTTTAAGTGTGTGTGCATCTGCATGCACTGGCGTACATACCGCGGTCGCAGGGGGCGCAGCCCTGTAACCCCTGCGACCAGGTGCCCACCGCCATGTGTTGCGGCCCGGCCCGCGCGGGGGGGGCCCACGGATCAATTTTCGCACCGGGGCCCCATGGGTCATGTGTACGCCACTGGATCTTACTATCTATCTATCTATCCGTTTATCACTTTAAAATGTTAGGGGGAAAAAAACCTCACTTGATCCTGAATTTCCTGCTTGGGCTGAATCTGTCAGACGTGTAAATGAATAATTAAAATAACTTAGGTGAGCACTCACTGAATGCTACCACTCAAGTCCTACTCTCAAAGGTCCCCAATCCTAAAATACAATCAAATAAGTGTGAATCTAAGCACACAAAACGTATTTCCACTCCGGAGGGCGCTAGACACCAGGCAAAAAATTGTTACCAATCTTGTAGCTTGTTATTGTATTAGTACTCGTAAAAAAGGACGAACAATAAATGGAAATATACAAATTGATTCTCACAAATTTAACTTCAAAATAGCACAATAAAAAGTAAATACATGTGTTAATATATAAATGTAAAATAAAGCACAATCTATCTACAAGAGAAAAAGAAACAAAGTCCAAAACGAGCTCCATAAAATGAAACCAACCTCTGGTGGGAGCCTCTTTGGTCGCGATTCCTGCTGGGCTCCTGTACCGAATGTGGAAATGTAGATGCAGACGTTTTGTCCCAGTCAGGACTTCCTCAGGAGATAACATCGGGACTCACACCTTAATGCACGTACCGGGGCAGCATGTAGACTCGGCCAGAAACAGACCTCTCAGACACTAGAAGCAGTCGTTTTACAGATTCATAAATTACATTAAAATAAGTGTGAATCTAAAATCTTCCGCATTCCCCCTATGGAGGGTTCTAGACACCAGACATTAAATATATAAAACAAACAAATTCAGAGTTGAGGTGATGTACCCCAACCCCAAAAACACAGAGAGCGAGTGCAGCGCTAAAACGTGTGTAGGATAACACTCACACTTTAATGTCTGTACCGGGGCAACATGTAGACATAGAAAAGGAAATAGAGGGAAGAAAAACTGATACTAATTTGTACTTACCCCAGAGGATTGCGCTAGTTTTTATTTGTTTTCTATTTCCTTTTCTATGTATATAGTCTCATACACAATGCAGTAGACAAAAATATAATAATAATAGCTCTCTCGGCCGCCAGGTGTGTTATTTTCTCTGTATTCCACGTAAAGGGTAGAGTTTTTACAAGTATCAGAGATTTCTCATAGTCTAAATACAGGATTAGGATTATTTTACCACCTGTGCCTTCCAGTTTGGCTTATACCAACACTACATTTAAAAATGGAGACCTTTTAATGTGGCATCTTGCAATTCACAGGCTGGTCTAAATAGTGGCAGAACCACAGGCTACTACCAGTTACCTGGGTCACATACCATGGACATACTGAAATTGGCAAACACGAGTAATGTTGGTGTTGCCGGTCGTTGGGTCTTCAAAGTGGATAAACTTCATCCAGAAGATCCCAGTGGAATTATAGGTATGTAGAAAATATTTTTTATCACTAATATTTCGGATCATTCTCCATATAAATGATAACCATGCTTCAAGCTAATTTTCAAACTATATTTAAGAATATTACACTTGTTTAGCATTCTTACATGGAATTCATGCTGCTAGTAATATTATCTAACTTTGCACTGTAGATCAAAATATTCAAATGTTTAATTTAGTAAATTTATATAGTAATATCATTTATATCAGCCAGGAAATGGAAATGAGTTACTATATGTGAGGGAATAACGAATCTCTTACCCTTCGCATTATTGCACTATATCCCACTATTCCCTATATGTTATCCAACAATATCCTGTATTCCCTTCATATTATCCCACTATATTCCAATATTCCTTTCACATTATCGCAGTATATCCCACAATTCCCTACACATTATCCCACAATATCCTATATTCCCTTTACATTATCCCACAATATTCTGTATTCTCTTCACATTATCGCAGTATTTTCCACAAATCCCCACACATTATCCCAGTATATCCCACAATTCCCTACACATTATCCCACAATATCCTATATTCCCTTCACATTATCCCACAATATTCCGTATTCTCTTTACATTATCACAGTATCCCGTATTCCCTTCACATTATCCCACTATATCCTGTATTCCCTTTATATTATCGCAGTATATCCCACAATTCCCTTCACATTATCCCACTATATCCCAATATTCCCTCTACATTATCCCACTATATCCCCTATTCCCTTCACATTATCCCAGTTTATCCTAATATATTCCAGTATTCCCTTACCATTATCCCAGCGTATCCCTCTCTATTCCCTTACCATTATCCCAGCATATCCCTTTATATCCCCTTTACATAATCCCAGTGTACCCCAGTATTCCCTTCACATTATCCCAGTATATCCCAATATTCCCTTCACATTATCCCAGTATAACCCTATATTCCCATTACATTATCCCAGTATATCCCCTATTCCCTTCACAATATCCCAATATATTTCAGTATCCCCTTTACATTATCACAGTGTATCCCAATATCTCCTTCACGTTATTCCACTTTATCCCAGTATTCTCTTCACATTATCCCAGTATATCCCAGTATTCCCTTTACATTATTCCAGTATATCTCAATATTTCATTTGCATTATCCCAGTATATCCCTCTATATTCCCTTAACATTATCCCAGTGTACCCCGGTATTCCATTCACATTATCCCAGTGTACCCCAATATTCCCTTTACATTATCCCAGTATATCCCAGTATTCCCTTTACATTGTCCCAGCATATCCCAATATTCCCTTCATATTATCCCAGTATAACCCTATATCCCCTTTACATAATCCCAGTATATCCCAATATTCCCTTCACATTATCCCATTATAACCCTATATTCCCATTACATTATCCCAGTATATCCCCTATTCCCTTCACAATATCCCAATATATTTCAGTATTCCCATTACTTTATCCCAGTATATCCCAGTATATTTCAGTATCCCCTTTACATTATCACAGTGTATCCCAATATCTCCTTCACGTTATTCCACTTTATCCCAGTATTCTCTTCACATTATCCCAGTATATCCCAGTATTCCCTTTACATTATTCCAGTATATCTCAATATTTCATTTGCATTATCCCAGTATATCTCACTATATTCCAGTTTTCCCTTCCCATTATCCCAGTATATCCCTCTATATTCCCTTAACATTATCCCAGTGTACCCCGGTATTCCATTCACATTATCCCAGTGTACCCCAATATTCCCTTTACATTATCCCAGTATAATCCTATATTCCCTTTACATTGTCCCAGCATATCCCAATATTCCCTTCATATTATCCCAGTATAACCCTATATCCCCTTTACATAATCCCAGTATATCCCAATATCTTCTTTACATTTTCCCAGTATATCCCAATATTCCCTTTACATTGTCCCAGTATATCCCAATATTCCCTTCATATTATCCCAGTATAACCCTATATCCCCTTTACATAATCCCAGTATATCCCAATATCTTTTTTACATTTTCCCAGTATATCCCAATATTCCCTTTACATTGTCCCAGTATATCCCAATATTCCCTTCATATTATCCCAGTATAACCCTATATCCCCTTTACATAATCCCAGTATATCCCAATATCTTCTTTACATTTTCCCAGTATATCCCAATATTCCCTTTACATAATCCCAGTATATCCCAATATTCCCTTTACATAATCCCAGTATATCCCAATATCCCCTTTACATTATCCCAGTGTATCTCAATATTCCCTTTACATTATCCCAGTATAATCCTATATTCCCTTTACATTGTCCCAGTATATCCCAATATTCCCTTCATATTATCCCAGTATAACCCTATATCCCCTTTACATAATCCCAGTATATCCCAATATCTTCTTTACATTTTCCCAGTATATCCCAATATTCCCTTTACATAATCCCAGTATATCCCAATATTCCCTTTACATAATCCCAGTATATCTCAATATCCCCTTTACATTATCCCAGTTTATCCCAGTATTCCCTTCATATTATCCCAGTATAACCCTATATTCCCTTTACATAATCCCAGTATATCCCAATATCTTCTTTACATTTTCCCAGTATATCCCAATATTCCCTTTACATAATCCCAGTATATCCCAATATCCCCTTTACTTTATCCCAGTATAATCCTATATTCCCTTTACATAATCCCAGTATAACCCTATATTCCCGTTACATAATCCCAGTATATCCAATATCCCCTTTACATTATCCCAGTATATCCCAATATCCCCTTTACATTATCCCATTATATCCCAATATCCCTTTACATTATCCCAGTATATCCCTATATCCCCTTTACATTATCCCAGTATATCCCAATATTCCCTTCATATTATCCCAGTATAACCCTATATTCCCTTTACATTATCCCAGTATATCCCAATATTCCCTTCACATTATCCCAGTATAATCCTATATTCCCTTTACATAATCCCAGTATAACCCTATATTCCCGTTACATAATCCCAGTATATCCAATATCCCCTTTACATTATCCCAGTATATCCCAATATCCCCTTTACATTATCCCAGTATATCCCAATATTCCCTTCATATTATCCCAGTATAACCCTATATTCCCTTTACATTATCCCAGTATATCCCAATATTCCCTTCACATTATCCCAGTATAATCCTATATTCCCTTTACATAATCCCAGTATATCCAATATCCCCTTTACATAATCCCAGTATATCCAATATTCCCTTCACATTATCCCAGTATATCCAATATCCCCTTTACATTATCCCAGTATATCCCAATATCCCCTTTACATTATCCCAGTATAACCCAATATCCCCTTTACATTATCCCAGTATAACCCTATATTCTTTTTACATTATCCCAGTATATCCCAATATCCCCTTTACAATATCCCAGAATATCCCAGTATCTCCTCTTCATATTAGTGCTGTGCATCCATATTAATACGTTAATGAAAATAGATTACTCTAGAATTTATCATTTTAATATTCTATTAATTTGTCTGTAAAGTCACTTTGTTGAGCTGTGTCAATGTCTGTCTTTGTTTACACTGATCGATCACCATATGTGGTTTTGGCTGGTGTTTAAAGAGGGGATTTAGGAATTCAGCTTCAGGAAATGTATGTTCATTAATCTGCATGACATATCGTGCCATCAATGTAAAAAAAAATACTGACTCGAACGTCCAGCGGTAAACTTGGAATTATACCGCATCTATTCACTAAAACCTCAGTTTGTCCAGACAAGCCTTACCAATGTTCACAAGAAAATCCATCAGCCTAGATGGAGGTAGTCAAGGTGAAATTTAGGAGGGTCTTTCGACAACTGGCCTCCAATACACTCAATTCAAACAATATTTAAAACCAAATGTGGTAATTCTCCAGTTACTACCATGTTTACAATTAATTTCCCCTAATTTCAGTTCATTAAATCAGCATCTATTAAATTAAAGTCATTTGGGTCATAGTTTGGCCAAACTCGTGGAAAATGGAAGTATCTCAGTGAATGATGCTATGAGACGACCATTGTCATAGACGACCATTGTCATCATCCAGGTCATTCAGGTTAAGTACAGGAGAGCAAAATTGGAGGGCAATTAAAAGGCTGTTTTTATTCCAAGCGAGAGAATATGGAAAATTCAGTCAAGGCAATGTTTCCATCGTAGCTCTCGTCACAAATGACTAAGCCAAAACTAGACTGAAACGTGGCATTGATTGGTGTTTTTCATACTCTCTGGTTTGGAATAAAGACAGCCTTTTAATCGCATTCAATTGCATTAATTGTACGTGTTGTCCTCCAATTTTGCTTTTCTGTACTTTACTTTTGGTGGATTTGCGGGTCCTCCCAATTTGGAAGAACACTTGGGAGGGGAATGCTAATGCTGAGGTTGTCGAGCCAGTCAAGCCCATTTCCAAAGTTCAAACTCTACAGTGACACCTGTCGTAGTTCCTGCGGGTTGGCGAATGAGCCTGTCCTTTTTGCTGAGGTGAATGTTACAATATATTTAGGAGAAATTAAACCTGCAGGGAAACGGACATAAAAATGTCATTCACATCATGATAAATAATGATTCTCTACAATTAAGCTGTAATAGCCTGAAACAAACATTGTTAATCTGAGCAGGGGAAATGTGAATATTTCATTATTAAATCGAATGAGAAATTATGCCAATACTCAGAGCACATCTAGACATTCGGCTGAAAGTCTAATCATCCAAACATTCTGTGAGTAATGGTCAGATGAATTTTTTGTCATTAATAAATTGCTTGGAACTTACATATTGATTGTTTGTAGAATATCTAACAAATGCAACAAAAATAACGTCATTACTGAGGTTTGTGCAAGTAAAAGTATGTTAATCCAATATTTTATTTTTGTTTAAGTTGCCATAAAATGCAAATTGTTTAGATTTTTACTGTTGAATGTGCAGTAAGTGCAAAATAAGTGCATGCGTGAACTTTGGTTTATGTATTCTATTAAAATAACATTGATGATAAGGCGGTCAGCGTACTCCTAGTACTGACCACAATAAGGTAAGTGTGTATCTAATGAGTGTACTAGGAATTTTTCTCTTTCCATGGATTGAATTAATATAATTTAGCTCACATCACCTCACCTCACACCTCACTGACCGCCCCTGGCCAAGAGTTATTGGTCATCTCCAAGGCAGTTCCACCATGTTTATTTCTGAGAATACGCTACGTGGTCGATATCCAAATGAGCTGTGAGTATTCAATCTATGATTCCAGCTGAGTATCACGTTTAACATTGTTATCTACTATGATTTGTCTGTCTTACCATGGTGGTAAGTAAGTCTTCCAGTTCATTGTCCTCGAAGAGGACCAGGAGCGATGCTCCACCAATATTTTTCAACAGACACAGGAAGGACCTTGTCGTGGTTCTGTTGCTCACAATCTGTGGGTTTCACTGTAGCGTGGTGCACTTATAATATTTTTCTTAAAGGAAGTAAGTCACACAAACTGTGTTTATACTGTGATTAGAGATTACGAAGGCTGGTCTATACGCCAGAGTCACAAATATTAACAAAAAGGTGTCAATAAACTAAAATAGTGTTTTATAATTCTGTGTTGTGGACCCATCCACATTGCACATCATTTGTATACCATTTGCAAAATGCCTTATTCAATGCAATATAGTTAATTTGTGCATGTCCTCTGTCTGTCTGTGTGTGTGTGTCTGACTGGCTCTCTATATGACTGTCTGTCTGCCAGTGTACCTGTCTGTCTGTCTCTCTGACTGTCTGCCTAGCTGTCTGTTCTGTCTGTCTCTCTGACTGGCAGAGGCGGCTCTCTAATTAGGCATTTAGGTAGCTACCTAAGGCCTCACATTGATGGGGGCCCCCGAGGCCACCTAAATCGCCTTAGGGCAGTGTGACATGTCGGGTTCTCAGTCAGAGACCAAGGGCCCGATACAGGAAGGGGTCCGGCGGCTCGGCCCTTATGCCGACGGGTGCGAGGCCCCTCCTCACTGCCTGCCCGGAAGATAGCCAGCCTCCAGTCTTCTGGGTGCAGAGCTGCGGACTGAGGTGTCTCGTGATCTCAGCCAATCAGTGGTGACCGGGGTCAACGCTCTGACTGGAGATCGCAAGACTTACCACATTGTCTGCAGCTCTGCACCCAGCTGTGCTGCAGACCAGATAGGGAGCCCACCGGACCACCAGGAATACAGCCTGCCCACCGGACCACCCGGGAATCAGTTTATTATAAGGGTAATTATGACCTCCTGTCCTGTCACTGTCTCAGCTCCCACCCCCTACCCTGTCACAGCTCCCCTACCATCCCATGCCCCGTCACAGCCCCCCTACCTTATCACATTAATCCCCCTCAATCCTGTCAGACTTACCTTCTCTTGCACTGTCACACTCACCCCCCCAACCCTGTCACACTCATCCTACCACATAAACCCTTACAATCCTGTCCTCCAACTGTGCAACGCTCACCCCAAACCCTGTCACACAAACGTAGACTATGCCAGATACATTTAGAAATACACACACCGGCACTTATGTATACACAAATGCAAAGCTATGTAACCATACCCCACAGTCGTGTATAAACGATTAGCATAATTGCTAATTAAATTTGTTTATTGCAAATTAATTTAGTTTGCAAATTATGCCATAACTACAGTCAGAAAGTTCACAGCCTCTGAACAATGAATACAGAGACTACCTCTCTGTATCCAGCGCTGCAAGCTTATCCTTCAAAACAACGACAGCACCTTATACACACAATGCAACCCTGATTTTCTGTTCACTTTGGGTGGTAGAGCGGGCCTCATGTTTGAGTTTCGCCTAAGGCCTCACAAAGTCTAGAGCCGCCACTGCTGACTGGCTCTGGCTAACTGTCTGCCTCTCTGATTGTCTGTGTAGCTCTCTGCCTCTTTGACTGTCTGGCTCTGGCTAGCTGTGTGTCCTGTGTACTGTCTTTCTGTATGTCTGTGTCTCTGACTGGCTGCATAGCTGTCTATCTGGCGCTGGCTAGCTGTGTGTCCTGTGTACTGTCTTTCTGTATGTCTGTCTCTCTGACTGACTGCCTAGCTGACTGTCTGGTTCTGCCTAGCTGACTGTCTGGCTCTGGCTAGCTGACTGTCTGGTTCTGCCTAGCTGACTATCTGGCTCTGGCTAGCTGTGTGTGATTGGATGTGTGGCACTGTTTAGGGCAAGCCTTCCTTCTAATGGCACCGTTAAGGTAAACCTGCAAAAAAGAGAAAGACAACAACAAGAAAGTGAAAATGGACAGTAATGAAAGAGTTAATAGACGGATTATTAAATTGCCCTGTACAGGATGAATTATCTTTAAATATCACATTTGTAATGCTTCACTCTCAATGTACCTGCTAAGGCCGCAGTGTTCCCCTCAGATTGTGCTAACGCTTCCTTACAGGGGCTGGGGGGTCACACTCCATGCTGGGCTAAGGCCGCAGTGTTCCCCTCAGATTGTGCTAACGCTTCCTTACAGGGGCTGGGGGTGGGGTCACACTCCATGCTGGGCTAAGGCCGCAGTGTTCCCCTCAGATTGTGCTAACGCTTCCTTACAGGGGCTGGGGGTTCCTCTGATTGTGCGGCACGCTTCTCATAGGGCCTGGGGCTCGCACTCATGCTGGGCTAAGGCTGCAGTGTTCTGTGATTGTGCTAACGCTTTCCTGCAGCTGGGGTCACACCTTCCATGCTGCTGGGCCGCAGTGTTCCCTGTGATTGTGCTAACGCTTCCATAGGGGTTGGAAGTGTGTCAGCTACTCATGCTGGGCTAAGGCCGCAGTGTTCCCCTCAGATTGTGCTAACGCTTCCTTACAGGGGCTGGGGGTGGGGGGGTCACACTCCATGCTGGGCTAAGGCCGCAGTGTTCCCCTCAGATTGTGCTAACGCTTCCTTACAGGGGCTGGGGGGTGGGGGGTCACACTCCATGCAGGACTAAGGCCGCAGTGTTCCCCTCAGATTGTGCTAACGCTTCCTTACAGGGGCTGGGGGTGGGTTCACACTCCCTGCTGGGCTAAGGCCGCAGTGTTCCCCTCAGATTGTGCTAACGCTTCCTTACAGGGGCTGGGGGGGGGTCACACTCCATGCTGGGCTAAGGCCGCAGTGTTCCCCTCAGATTGTGCTAACGCTTCCTTACAGGGGCTGGGGGGTGGGGGGTCACACTCCATGCTAAGGCCGCAGTGCTCAGATTGTGCTAACGCCGCAGTGTGCTGGGCTAAGGCCGCAGTGTTCCCCAGATTGTGCTAACGCTTCCTTACAGGGGCTTACAGGGGCTGGGGGGTGGGGGGTCACACTCCATGCTGGGCTAAGGCCGCAGTGTTCCCCTCAGATTGTGCTAACGCTTCCTTACAGGTACAAAATGGAAAAAGGATCAGCGCTGTGTGGAAGGACTAGAAACAGGTAGATAGCTGCAACCTATAAGTATGAGGTTCCCTCACTCCATGCTGGGCTAGAAATGGCAAAAAACAGATTGTAATAGGTCCGCAGGGGCAAATAAATATATTATATTCACATACATAAAGCTAAGGCCGCAGTGTTCCCCTATAAGAGAAGAATAATAAATAGTCCAAATAATTGGTGTACTTAAGATAAATTCCAATGGATAGATGAAGATCCTTACAGGGGCTGTTCGGTGGGGTCACACTCCATGCTGGGCTAGGTGTTCAATGAGAAATCGGTGTGCTCTAATACGAACGAACAGGGGCTGGGGGGGTAACCATCAAAATAAAGAAAACAGGGGAATCCAATAGTGTAGAGATTGTGCTAATAACTGAGGCTATGAGGTGGGGGTCACAGGTGCTGGGCTAACCTATTTTTGTTCCCCTCAGATTGTGCTAATGCTTCCTTACAGGGGGCTGGGTCACAATATACTAGAGCAAGTATAGTGTCAAAAATAGGTGATTGTATTACCTCCCTATTATTCCTCTGGGGGTCAGGGTCACACAGACTATGCTGGGCTATTGGATTCTCCCTGTTTTCTTTATTTTTCCTTACAGGGGCTCAAGGGTCACTTCGCTCGCTATTAGAAGAACCGATTTCTCATTGTGCTAACTACCACAGGGCCTGGGGGGGGGTCACACTCCATGCTGGGCTAAGGCCGCAGTGTTCCCCTCAGATTGTGCTAACGCTTCCTTACAGGGGCTGGGGGGGTCACACTCCAGGCTGGGGAGGTGGTGACAGGTCAATTAAAGTTGTTACCTACAATTCTCAATGTCTCTTTGTTTTGATTTGTTCTCAGGTGCTGCGCAAGCCAAGAAGTCCATTAAAATTCTCAGCTCATCCTTTGTCTCCCATTATTTGCAACGCACTGTGCATGACTTAAAATGTAAATATACACAACAGTTTAACCCCTTCCCGACCAAAGATGGAAAGGTTCCGTCAAGCTTGTCCTTGTGTTAAGGACCGTTGACGGAAAATTTCCATAATTTACTAATATTAACGCCAGATCGCCGTGATTGCGGTGATCGTGGGGTTAACCCTGTTGCTGGGTGCCTCGATGTCGGAGGCAGACCAGCAACCGCCAATAGCGCTGTCCCAGCACGTGTGATCGCTGTGACAGCCAGTGGGGTTTGAGAAGTGGAGAGAGACCGATCGGTGCTGCAACATTGTGTGCCATTTTAGATTTAACTGTATCTGTGTTTTAAAAGTAATTGTAGTACTTTAAAATAGTGTTTACCCTTTCCTTGCCCTTTTGACTACTGCCTGCAGTGATCAGCATACTGATCACAGTATTTAACTGTGATCTAATTGTTTTTGTACCCTCAGGGGTTAATTTTGATTTTCTTTTAAACTTTAGGGGTTAATTTTATTTAATTTGTTATTTTAGTAATTTGACGTTGATTCTTTAGTTAGCTGGAGTGGGTGGACTTTAGTCGGAAATTGGTAAATTGAGTGTTAGGCTAGTTAGGGACTAAAAGTTTGGAAAACTTTTTAAGTATAAAAAGAAAGTTTAAAAAAAGAAAAAAGTTTTAAAAAAAACAGTTTAAAAAAGTTAGAAAAACTAGTTTCTAGTTACAGCTTGACAATGTCTAGGAGGTACATTGCTGAGGAGGCCTATGATATTTTAGCAGCCGACTCTGATGCCACAGACACTGCCTCTGAGAGTGGTGATGACTTTGTGCCAGATACTGTAGGGCCCTCTGTTGTAAGCGCCAAGTCCCCTGACCTGGCTCATGGCGCTGGTGACTTGGAACCCCTAAATGAATTCATGCCTGACATCCCAGAGTTTACTGGCAGTCCTGGAATTCAGTCGGAAGTCACTAACTACAGTGCACTGGATTTCATGCAGCTATTCTTGGGGGGTGATATTGTAGGGGATATTGTCACCAAGACCAACATTTATGCTGCGCAGTATCTGACACTAAATGATCAGAGTCTCTTCACCAGGAAAGAGAGTTGGTATCCCATCAGTGTGCCAGAATTAATAAAAATGTGGGCACTAACTATGCTAATGGAAATTATTTTAAAAAAAAACTGCATCAGGATGTACTGGTCCAAAAATCCTGTATGCAGCATTCCTATTTACTCCCAGACCATGAACAGGTCCAGATACGAAGCAATACTTAACTTTTTACACTTCAGCAACAATTCAATGTGCCCCCCAAGAGATAATCCTCAGTACGATAACCTCTATAAGATTTGCCCCCTAATTTCCCTCTTCAACAGACAATTCAGCTCAATTTACACCCCACAAAAAATATTTGTTTAGATGAGTCTTTGATGAAATACAAGGGCAGAATGGGGTTTAACCCCTAATGGACCAAACTTCTGGAATAAAAGGGAATCATGACATGTCACACATGTCATGTGTCCTTAAGGGGTTAAGCAATATATCCCGGCCAAAAGATTCCGGTATGGGATAAAGTTGTATAAACTTTGCGAAAGTGCCAGTGGCTATGTTTACACCTTCCATGTTTACGAAGGTAAAGACAGCCACTTGGATCCCCCAGGTTGCCCGGATATCATTGGGACTAGTGGGGAAATTGTATGGGATCTAATTAACCCATTGCTAAATAAGGGGTATCATTTATTTATAGACAATTACTTGTCTTCTTAGAATGCTTTATTGCTTTGAAACTGTGGCCTGCGGCACTATCCGAAAGACACGTGTCTGTTTCCCAAAAGCCCTGGCACTAAAAAGCCCAAAGGAAGGAAACTGCTGCTCTCTGCCAGGATGAACTGCCTGCTCTCAAATTTAAAGATAAGAAGGAGGTGTTCATGCTATCATCCATGCATACTGAGCACACTCGAAGAGTCGCAGTTCGTGGCAGACTAGACGGGTGCCAGTCTGCATTAGGCAGTACAACAAGCACATGGGAGGAGTTGACCTGTCTGACCAACTGATGCAGCCATATTTAATACTGAGGAAGACCAGGGCATGGTACAAAAAGCTTGGCATTTACCTTATGCAAATGGCGACTCACAATGCCTTTATTCTGTACAAAAAAGGCAAATGCTGATATTAAATCCACATTTCTGGATTTTCAGTTTCAGCTGATTTCTGGGCTGCTCACTGAGTGCCACAGTGGGAAACCATCAGCCGGCCTAGCAGCAGAAGGGTTGAGACAGGTCACTTCTGTTTCCGGATACCACCAACCCCCAAAAAGAAGACACCCCAGAAAAGGTGCAGATTGTTCTACCAGAGGGGCATAAGGACGGAAACCAGCTTTTACTGCCCTGATTGCCCCTCTCAGCTCAGCCTTTGTATTGGCAACTGTTTTAAAGTTTTTCACAGTTGCACATTGCTTATATACATATACACATACATACAAACATTTTTTTTATTATTATTTAGTTCTTCCATTTTAAAGTTGCTGATGACATTTAGGACCAAGGAGGCTGCTGCAATTCTGACTCTGATTATTTCATTATTTTTATTTTTCTAATTTTATCTAGTTAATTAGGGTGCATGGTAATTCATGGGAAATTGGGGAGTTTAGTGTTACGTTAGGGGTGAAAAGATTTAAAAAAATATATAAAATAGAAAAAAAAATTTTTTATAACATTACTTAGTTAAAGTTCTTGTGTAAAAAATTTAAAATGCTTAGCAAGAGTTGACAGACAGTGTCTCAGAGTTAGATGAGAGTAATACAGTGATTAATACCTTCTTTAAAAAATGGTAGGCCTTTGTGGGGTAGTTTGAATTATCAGCCTGCTAAGATGCTCTAAAATTGCACATGGACCCAGCATCAAAATTCAAAGTTTGAAAAAAAAATGATATGGCTTGGTCTCCAATGTGCCCCTCCAACATCCACATATCCCTGAAAAAGGTAC